CACTCTTTCAGTTTAAAGACATTCCAAAGCCTTCAGGAAACACAGGTTACACAATTTTTAATAACTGACAAATGCAATCTTTTCCCACCTCCAAAATGATCTCCAAAATATCTGTATTATCTTCCAAGACTAGCTCATTACTTTCCAGTGCAGCAACACCGAAAATCTGACAGCTGAACCATCCATCAGTGTTTGGCAAGACCAAAGATTTCTGGCACAACTACCCTGGCTACAGAATTTCAGTCAGGAAAGCTGGCTTGCCTACTGCAAACTGTATTTCCCAATGTTCTTTTTAAAGCACACAGCCCTTTTTATTTTTATTTATTTTTTAAGTAATGTTAAGTTTGCAAAATTTGAACACTTTACGACAATTTACAGAAAAACAGGAGCAGCAATGCAGTTTTGAGGGGAAAAGTTTAAACTTGGCAGTCAGTAATTACTTCAGGAAGTAATTACTTAAGTTCTCAAAAAACCAATTTCAGTTTGGAAATGGAGTTCATCTTTTCCTTAGCTTCCTTGAATTAGCATCAAGAAACGTGGAACAAATAGGCATATTTTATTACAGGGCTAAAATCAGAATGTTACAAAAGAAATCCAAATTAAAACGTATTGTGAAACTTTGTACACTATGGAGTATTACTATTTATTCCCTACTTTAATAATATGAAACAAAGACATTTACCGCACTTTGTGAAGAAGGGTTTTTTCTGTATTGATCTCTTGCTAGAATTATCTGGTACTTTGTAAGGCTGGGAATATCCCGCCTTGCTAAAACTCCTATTTTAATCAGGCGCCCAGCAAATGTTTCAAGCACCTGCAAACAAAACACAGAAGAACACAAAAGATATGAAGGTATGCCTGTTTAGCCCACTGAAGCAGTTTCATTTTTAAAGATCTTACATAACAGAACACAAGCAGCAGCATATTTATTTTATTTAAAACATAGAAGTTTTCAAAACAAACTGTACTGGTTTCTGAAAAATGTGTTACTGTACCAGATGACACCCAGTGCTCTGCCTCACTATAACATTCTCCAGCACCAAGAGGTTTCTAGGATAGTACACAACATTTTTTTCTAAGAGCAGTAGAACTATTTAGTTCCCTAAATAAGGATTTGTGCCGTCTATTTTACAGATAAACTTGCTCCTGCCCCTGAGATAACCCCATATCAATCGAATAACTAAGAAGTGAAAGCACGCTTTTGTAATTGCACAAGTACTGACTAAGCAGACAGGCACCAAAACGGGATGCGCAGCCAGCTACTGAGCTCCTACTGCAGGTGCCTCTTGGACTGCTAACCCTAACTACAGTGGCATTGCAGTCTTGAGAAAACCTGCACCGAGCTTTGAGAAGTCTAAATTACCACAGGCAGGGGACTAGCCAACAGGTTAGAAAGTTGTGTTGGGAAGGGCAGGAGTCAGGAGAGGTGAGCAGAGAGGAACAAGCACCCAACACCAGCAAGCCCCATTTCCTTTGGAAACGACACCAGAAGACAATTTGTTTTTATACATCACATGTAGCTGCTTTCCACATGGGTGAAACAAGGAAACTGACCTGCACTAATTCATCTTAATCCTGTTTTTCCTTTTTGTTTCTCAGCCTTAGGTAGTCAGGATTTTTTTCACAGACTTAGTTTTGCATGAGTGTTAACTCTGTAATAATTGGAGTAATCAGATTTGTTCTACAAAAATTACTTAATCTGTTGGCCCACTTGGCTAGTAGCACCAAAAACATCTTAGTGCACAACAACAAGCTTCTTCAAAGGCAATCTTGACATAGTTTGACAGCAGATGGTTCCCGATAGCTGCTTACATCCATAGTGTTTCCCAAGTTTACTGGGTATTTTAATGCCAGTTCAGCTGAACTGTGCTAAGGCTATAGCATAACAGATGCCTAATCCTTTTATTGCTGTTCTTCCAGCCCACTGCCAATCAAGTCCAACTGAAGCAATAAAAACAGGTCTAACTTTCAGGCCTTAAACAATACTCATCTAAGTAGGTCTTCAGCTTGCAAAGACAAAATACCCTAACAGGAAAATAAAGCCAACTGTGAAAGTGCAGTGTGTGTTTATACAGGAAGTGTCAACACTCATTTTGTCCCCTTCCCACATATGGTGGGTTATAAGAGCCTGACAGGATGCACAGACATTACTACCAACCACACTCTAATCATACCCTCTCCGTGCAGTGATAGCTTAGTTTAACACATTCTCTCTGCTTGCTTTGATTATTTTTATAGTCTAATATTCCTTTAGCTTCTTACTCTGTGTCCAGTGCCTGTGAGGCATTAAGTGGCAAATCCTGAGAAAAGATGTGGGGGGGATAATTGCCATCATCAACTACTGCAGCATTAATGCCCCAAAGAACCAAAAAGTAAAGAGAACTTTGGAATGGTGAAGGAAAACTTGTGAAAGCACCAGCCAAACTGGGGAAACGTGCTGGGGAATTTCCACACTGCCCCCAGCTCCATGCCAGCAGGACTTTGGAAAACAGCTAACTGGAGTCAGCAGGCTAAGCTGATTATAACAGATAAAGGCTGATGAGAAATAACAGAAACAAAGCCTAAATTATGAATGCTTTGGTGCATCTCAGGTTGTTCCTCTTCCCTAGTCTGGGCCTTCCGACTGGCAGCTTCCTGCTTTTGCTGAGAGGGGCCCAGCTCGGCTCACTGCTCCTGGCTGGAGGGGACAGGGGAGATGCCCACAGGAGCAATGCCAAAGGCAGGATGGTGCTGAGTAGTACTGCCCACCCCATGCCTCCTGGGGCAGTTGATGTCGGACCTGATGCAGGGGCTGAACAATCATCTACAGTTGAAGAGCCCCAGGGCACTTCCAGCCACCTTGACCCACAGAAGCCTGGTGATGGCCTCAGGCAGCTCCCCAGGCAAAGCAAAGCAGTCCCCAAGCACCCTTTTTAATTAAGACTAATGGATTAATTAGACCAAATAAAGCACTTGTACGACCACCACCACCAATAAGCAGACACCAATTGGAAACCACAATATTGCTGGGAATTTCCAGAGGAAACGGAAAGAAAAAAAGAAATAAAAATATCTTTTCTTAAAATAGAGTCAAAAACATTCACTGAGCCACTTGGAAATCTAAATGCACAATAAATTAATTTCTCACATTTGGTTTAGTTTTAAGAGTTTAAAATTCAAAAGTTCATCTTTTACCAGTTTGTTATTGTTGTTTTAAAACCTGGCCTGTCTCTGATAAGTCAGTTTAAAAGGGCAGAGACAGAAATATCTGTGCCAGCTTATAAAAAAAGTCATTTAATAATATAAACAAAAAAAGGTTGACCATGCAAGGGATAACTCAGTGCTCTTTATTTTAATGGGATACCATTGAAATAGCTCTCTAATCTCCCACCAAACCCTAAAGAGCTGGACATAAGAAGCGTGGCCAGCAGGTCGAAGGAGGTGATCCTGCCCCTCTATTCTGCTCTCGTGAGACCTCACTTGCAGTATTGTGTCCAGTTCTGCTGTCCTCAACGTAAAAAGGACATGGAGCTGCTGGAGCAAGTCCAGAGGAGGGTCACGAGGATCATAAGAGGGCTGGAGCACCTCCCGTATGAAGACAGGCTGAGAAAGTTGGGGCTGTTCAGCCTGGAGAAGAGAAGGCTGCGTGGAGACCTCATAGCAGCCTTCCAGTATCTGAAGGGGGCCTACAAGGATGCTGGGGAGGGACTCTTCATTAGGGACTGTAGTGATAAGACAAGGGGTAATGGGTTTAAACTTAAACAGGGGAAGTTTAGATCAGATATAAGGAAGAAGTTCTTCACAGTGAGGGTGGTGAGGCACTGGAATAGGTTGCCCAAGGAAGTTGTGAATGCTCCAACCCTGGAGTGTTCAAGGCCAGGTTGGAGAGAGCCTTGGGCCACAGAGTTTAGTGTGTGGTGTCCCTGCGCATGGCAGGGGGGTTGGAACTAGATGATCTTAAGGTCCTTTCCAACCCAAACCATTCTATGAGTCTATGAGCACAACTGAAATGCTGAAGATGAAGCTTAAACTATGTCTCAAGTAGTGGTAATGGAGCCAGTCTCTGAACACAAAGAAGTTTCTCTAGATAAGAAATTAATGTTTTCATTGAAAAATAATGGCCACATAAGTATAATGCTCCAGCCTTGGTTTATTATTTCTTGCTGCATAGCTTTTTTAAAAAAAGAAATTTCCATTACATGTACTTTTCTGTTTCATCCCTTGACCTAGTTTATAACATGCAAGAAAATTACATTGCCACTGTTCGCTCAGTGTACAGCCCTGTCTGATTTAATCATCTTCTGCAAAACAAACTGAGGAAGACTATTATGAAAGACAGCAGGATCCAGTCACCTGGAGCTTCAAAACTCATAAGGAACAGTAAACATAACCTACTTAGAGAAGATACAGAAACAAGCGCTGCTCAGAGTGATTACGTTTATCTTGCCTCCATACCTTTATTTTTAATTAAAAAGATAATTCTTCTGGAAAGTCTGCTTACTTTTTCCAAAACATTCAAGTCTTATGTTACCTATTTAAAAACAGAACTGTAGAATTCATTTAAATTAATTGCTTAGTAGGACTCATGGCTTATCTCTAGTTCACCGAGTTCAAAAAGCTGACAGATTTACTACCAATATATAAAAGACACCTGGTAAAGTTATCCCATACTGCACTAAACTCGCCAAGAACATAAGGGGGTTTGCTGAATATCTTCCACAGCAAATCACACCGTTTTTTCTGAATCTTGTACCCGAGATAAGCTTAGGACCTGCCATTTAGAGCTACATTAGCTGAGAAGCAGCATGTATATTACAAGCAGAACTGGCAGGACAAATAACTGTTACTGTTTCAGCTACACCTCACTAAAAACTGCTGTTAATCTGTTTTCTCCTGGCACAATAGAAAACAAAGGCTCTAAACAAACGACCCAGACTAATTATTTCACTGCAGATATGCAAGCATTCTGTACCAAAGAAAAGCAAGAAACCTGCCAGGCATAAATAACTGTTTGGAATGCATTTATTTCAGAGTGGAGGAGCAGGTTGAGAGAGAACAGTCACTACGTAGACTGTTCCTTTGCAAAACAAAGACTCAGAAGGTCCACTTCTGTCCACAGCAAAGGCAAAGTGCCAGAAAACTTTCTGAGCGCTCCCAGCCTTGACTGGCAGACCTGACCAGGGTTCATGAAGTCACACTGTACGTAAGAAGAGCAGCCATCTCCTTCACTTCCTTCCCCTGCTCTCCCAGCCCACCCAGATCCAGCGTTTTCGAAGCCCAAACAGGCTACAGACCCCTTCCACATGTGCTGGGCAAGGTGCAGAATGGGTGTGGAAGAAAATTGTAGAATCACAGACTGGTCTGGGTTGGAAGGAACCTTAAAGCTCATCCACTTCTAACCCCCCTGCTATGGGCAGGGACACCTTCCACTAGACCAGGTTGCTCCAAGCCCTGTCCAACCTGGCCTTGAACACTGCCAGGGATGGGGCAGCCACAGCTTCTCTGTGCCAGTGTCTCACCACTCTCACAGGGAAGAGCTTCTTCCTGGTATCTAATGTGAATCTCCCTTGTTTCATCCTAAAGCCGTTACCCCTTGTCCTGTCACTACAGTCCCTGGCAGAAAGTCCCTTTCCAGATTTCCCGTTGACCCCTTTAGGTACTGGAAGGCTGCTACAATGGGACTGGGCTGTGTTTTGGCGAGGTACTATCACACCTACAGCTGTACGGGAACATCAACATGCTCACTGACACACTGGTCTGACTTTAACAGGGGACCACTAAAACCAGGAGTAGGGAAGTAACACAAGCAGCTCCAGAATGCAAATTTAGGTTTTT